CCCCTTCCGCGTCCCTTGGCCGCGAGCTTTCATGAGCTACTCCCCACTCGGGGGTTCGTTTCCCTACCCGGCGACCGAGGGATTCTCCTATTGACGTGCCAGTCCTCTCTGACCCAACCCCGTGAACCCCTCGCCTACATCTATCCCCACGCGCACCACCACCATCCCTCTGGCCCTCTATAGCATGGTCTGACGTAACGTTGCGTTACGTCAGACCACCCTCGCAGCCCGCTGCTGCAACGGGTAGTCTCCGGACACTCGCACCCTCGCATGGTCTCTCTCTCTCTCTCTCTCTCTCCCCCTCCCTCCCTCCCTCCCCCTCTCTTTTCCTCTTACTGTTTCCACACGATGGCATTTCTTATCGCTGCAACGCGGTACTTCTTTATAATCACAAGTTCCGCCTTGGTAAAAATCATCTACGTGCGTAGGATGCGATTTCATAAAAAAGATATTAGATAGACGGCAAGAGAACGAGAAGAGATTCTTTCGCTATGTGGCGCCATGGGAGTCCCCTTTTCACGAATCGATTTAAAATCCTGTCCTTCGTCTTTTTTCCTCGTTATTTTATTTTATAATTTTACTTTTGCGAGAAAAAAACGTTCAGTGTTCCACGACAGAAACTTACTATTCCGTATAATTTAAATCCGTGATCCGCACCTTTACACCACCCCCGTAATTCTAGATAGCCGGCGGCTTCCAGGAGATTTGCCCACTGGCCTATGTATGGTTAGAGATAACAATGATAGTAAGCTAAAAGAAAGAAGTCAGAGGGAGGGAGAAAGAGAGAAAATTCTAGGAAATGGTCTTATTCCGCGTAAGGCCAGATATAGAAGCGTCAATTTTACGTTAATCAATTCTTAGAAAAATACGCAATAAAAATCCGATGATATAATATCCTACAAAATACATTTCTCGTTGAATGCTTTTTCTAAATATGTTTCTCGTTTATAATGCTTTTTCTACCTTCCGTTAAAATATATTCTAAGATTTTCATATTTCTGATATTCACAATCCGTTCTTATTTTAAGATTCTCTTAAATAATGTCTTAATTAAGATACTAATACGACTCTATGGCCGATATTTATAATTGGTTCTTATTTTAAGGTCGTCTTAAGTAATGTTTTAAAATGTTAATACAGCCTTCTGATTGATTAATGACATTAGATGTCATGAGCTGTTATATTAGCACCTAAAACTGTGTACTTATTAAGATGATTCTAAGGACGGTATTCATAGTCGGTTTTTATATCAAGACCGTTTTAAGACGCTAATGCGACCCTCTGATTGGTTCGTGACACCTCAAGGTTGAAGACGATCTTGAATATAAGAAATGACTGTGAATACCGACCTAAGATTCGACTATGAATATTGCCCTGTGATTGTGACTAGTGACTCTTAAAACTATAGTTAAGATAATCTTAAATATAAGAATTGACTATGAATACATAAGATTCTTAAAATATGTAATCTATGTAAAAAGTATATTTACGTAATCACTTCTAGTATTACGCGATTAATTGTTATCAATTTCGGATCTACGGCAACATTATATCCCGCAGAACATAAACTAATGGTAACAATACACCAATATTATTATTTTCCTTAATTCAACAACATAAATGTAATTTGTAATATAACACGTTGTATATAACAATTTGTTCAGAGTATAAAATTATAATATTTATATGATGTTACTGTCAGTTTGTATCCTTTATTGAGATATGAAAAATATAAAAAATTCAATTTTTTTAATTCTATGTATCTAAATTCTAAATGATGAGTCTCTCTCAGATTGTTAATTCTTATAAGAATTTAAAATTATAATCTTAAATTCTCTAACGTCATCTCTCTCTCTCTCTCTCCCCCCCTCTCCCCTCCCTCCCTCGCTCTCTCTCTCCCTCTCTTTCTCCCCCCCTACTGAAAATAAATAATATCAGTCCTAAAATGCAGATATAAATTAATATATCGCTTAAAATTATGCAAAATGTTATAAACATCGGAGTTATTAAGCAGTAATAATTAATCATTACTAATATGCATTAATGTCTTAATGCATTTCATCGTCGTAACTTTTTATTGTAAACGTCTCAAAGTAATCCAGCAATATGTCGTCCGTTATTTCGAATAATTCGAATAATTATATACGGAAAGCTTCGATAAACTTACGAATCTCTGGTAAATCTGTAACATGATTCGTCCGTGAGAAGGAAACAATGCAGAGGTGACGCTGCAATACTTCTTAACGTAAATACACACGTTATAAAAATTCGCGATTAACAAATGCCCGAAACGAAGGACGATCTCGCGAGAGAACTGTTTGAAGTTAGCCGTAAAAGCAAAATCGTGAGAGTCATATCGGTAGTGCCATCTGACATCGGGAGCGTGAAACTTTTGCTTAGTGCGCTTAGTGCGCTTAGTCGATAAAATAGGGATTTCTAATCGTTAATTTTTTTTAGTACATATCAGAGAGAAACCTGAGAGAGGACGTGAGGGTCTTTTTCCTGTAACCGTAAACTGTCGCTGTACACGCACCGGCAGGAATGGTGTCCCTCGGCGTTCGGCGCGCGACGCTACACACTCGTACCGAAGTTCACACGTACGTGTTACTGGAAGCATGCAAAGCTATTACAATGAGTCTCAAAATTACACGTAATTATGCATAAAAATTTTTTACAGTATTAAGAATTTTTATGCATAATTACATCATTTTGTGCACAATAAAAATATTATGAATATTGGCGAGCGGGAGACACCGGGGGATCTCACTCGCGCTAGTAATAAATGTGTGAGACAGCGAAAGGACACTGCGAGCCGACATCACGTCCAATTACGCTTTCTCTCTCAATCGTGCGTCTTACGCTAAGGACGGAATATCGGAGCGCCAAGGGACACCATTCCTGCCGATGCGTGTACACTATTGCCCTCTGAAGAAATGGATGTAAACTACAAAACAATATCCATTTTTTGCGGTGCTCCTGATGGAAATAAATCGCTGAAATCGCTGAAATAACTAAAATCTATCAAATTAATATTCAGATTTCCCTCTGTCTGTTGAAACGTTTTTTTAACACAAGATGCAGCATATTAGACTGATAAGAACTTTTCGTTAATGGATAATTGTAAATTCAAATTGCACAAAATTAAAAATAATTAATATTTATAAGTATTTTAATAATATTTCAGGAATATTAAGGTATAATAACTAGAGTATTATATAAGTGGACATATAACCTCTATAGAATTTATTAATGATTTTTTATCGCGATATTATATTAAGTTTTATATTCGCAAATTAATAATTAATAGTAAATACGATCTAATTGTTGTTAGTATTTCATTCTGTTTTTCTCATTTCATTAAATATTAGGTTAGAAAAATTTGTGTTTTATATTTTCGAATATTTCGTATAATCCCGCATTAATAAATTTGTTAATTATACTCCTATAATATAATTTTTATTATATTTCGAACAGCATTTATAATGCACATTGTATTGTAAACAATTATTATTGTATTACTAAATGTATAAAAGATTACAATAAATGATAGTATTAAAAAAGTTATGCAATATATGATTTTATCGTATTTCGCTAATCATAATGCAATATAATTATTTTATCGTATTTCACTAATCATAATGCAATATAATTAGTGAAAAATGCAATAAAATAATTAGATTTAAAAATAAAAAATAAATTTTAAATACATTTACCTGGAAAAACGGACTACTAAATTTATTATACGGGTGAGTATACTTATAAAGAAAAAAGGACTGTCGATAAAATCGGCGGGGGTGGTAGAGGGCTTCTAGCTCGTTTTTGCTAAATTAAACCTTAAATTAACGATATATATGATTTGAAAAGTTTAAAGTGTATATATTCAAAGTGTTTATATAATTGCTAGTAATTATAAAGACTTTGGAATATACTTATCATACTAATAAGTATGTTTGGTAAAAACGGGCTGAAAATCTGCATTAAAAAAATATAATTTCGTAATTCCATTTTTATGCAGGCGCATATTATAAGACAAAATTCGCTAAATTACCTTGTTTGAATATTCAATTTCGAGTTTCTTAAAATTCAATAACTTTTATTTCCGTAGTAGGAGATGCAAAATTAAAATTTTCATTTAAGGACCGATTAATAAACATGCATAAAAAAATTAAATTCCTATATAATAAATAAAAATAAAAACATTCAAATCCAGCGATTTACTTCTATCAAGGAGCACTGCAAAAAAGTGGATGTATTGTGTAGTTTACATCCATTTCTTCAGAGGGCAGTAGTGCGAGGATATTTTGCGGTTATACAAGAAAAAGGCCCTCATGTCTTCTTTCTCTCAGGTTTCTCTCTGCTTACACTTTCTGCACTCAGGTTTTCTCATGCTCCATCATGCTCTTTCTCTCTCTTCAGCGACCGAATTGGACCGAATGTATGTATGTCCGTCTCATCTCAGGCACGAAAAGTGCTTGAGCCGCTTGAGATTAGAAGTGCAAGTAAAACAAACGGATCCAAAAATGAAGAGTTCAAATACGTTATGATCATACGAGGGAAAACAACATGTCTACGAGTGCTGTCAATTGAAACAATTAAAACAAGAAAACTTGCCGGTGTATGGATAATTTTGTATTTTTTTTTTGCGCGAAGTTTAATCTTGTGTGTGTGTGCTTATGTATGTGCATGTAATTTTGATAAGATGGATTTAAATTTTGCGAATAAGGAACTTACTCCAACCGTGTTTATTTACATTTTGTTAAAGAAATATATATTGCATGAAATCAGAATATTTACAAGATCATAATTTTTGCAAATTAAAAACTCATTGCTTTTATAATCTAATAATCTTTTCTACTTTTATTTATTTGTTTTAAATATCTTGATTTATAGTTTCTCTAGTATATATATCTTTCATTGTTAGGTAAAAATAATATTGAGCCATTGTAACATTTATAAATTCATTGTATTTTCTTATCTAAGAACAGATTTATCATGAACGAGGTTGCAGATAATTTTGCATGGACTCGCCAGCTCGAGTGTCCACTGACAATATACAATGAATCGGTGAAGAAAATGTTTGTTCATTATATATATCTGTTTATTGGATCTGTTGCTATTTATCGTCTTGCCTAACTTTTCTTTTCCATCAGATTGTGCAAAGGAGTACTGGAGCTCCTGTGGGAGGATATTTCCAATTCTGCGTTTCCTATAGCTGAAGCATGTAAAATAAGAAAGAACGTTTTGCTGTGCAAACTGAAGCACGGATTAACTGATTCTGCAATTTCATCTGTGAGAGATTTAAATCAATTAAAAGTCAAAAATAATGCACTGAAACAGCAGATATCTACATTGGAAGAAGGATACGAAGAACAGGATTATACTGTCAGGCAAAAACGTAAGATGACAAGCATGTATTAATCTCAAGGATATTTCGATACAATTTTAATAAATTTCATGAAATTGCTAGTGCAACGGTTAAAGGATATAAAGAGCGAGTGTTCGCTGATCAGCAGGAGAAAGGATTTGCTTAAACTGAAACACAGCGAAACCAGCAAGCAAGTGAAAGATTGTGATGACATGAGACAAGTATGTCAGCATTTAATGCCAAGCACTTCTAAGGACATAGATCAACAAAGATTGGGAGAGAATTTGGATATAATAGTAGACCTGCGTCGTTCAGCCACAGATAAGAAACAAGTTAGATTTTTTTACAGACTATTATATAAAATAATATTTATGTATAAAATAATACTGAGAATAACATTTTCTAATAACAGATATGGACAAAGGTATCAAACTCTCTTAATAGTATTGATGTACACACACTATGGACACACTTATATCAAATGCTGTCGGAAGATTTGAATACATTAATGAAATTGGAGACCAAGAATGACTTCGACAATTTAAATATAGTAGGCGAAAGTATAGATATTGGTATTGCAAGAGCATCTGGTCAATATATATGCATGATATCAAAACGCATATTGTCTAATACTAAAGTCAATATGTATCAACAACGTTTAATGGAGTTTATAGATTTAATAGAGGTAGCGTGAAAATATTTTAAGACATTAAATTATAAGAAAAAATATAATTAGTGAAGAACGTGAGAGACAATTAATGCACACCTTGTCTTGCAGTCGTTATCCCATGAAGATGTGAGCGCGTGGTTAGCTTTAAAATTGGAGGTGAAAAAATTAAAAGCCGAACAGGCTTACCTACAAAACGAAGTTCAGAAATTGAAAAACATTATTCAAGAAAATTCCTTGCTCAATCTCGATATAGGTCGATTAACGGCCGACATAGAGACGATTGACGCACAGATGGTATGTATTGGTATATATTTCATACTCTACATTTTCATGATACTGATATTAAACATTGCAGGATAAATATATAAAGGACATTCAGCAATCCATAGCAGTTTTAAACTCTACGCCAACGCTCATATTTAAAGGGAAAACCTTACAGGCTGACAATTACGATGCCAATTGTGTGAATAATGCATTGGATATCGAACTGGATATGTTTTACAATATCTTGGATCTCAACGCTTTACGAAAAGTAATGTTGAAGGGAGATGTGGGACTGTACAGGTTTGAAAATCTTCTTATGTTAAATTTTTCATTAGTATTGTAAAACTATCATACGAATTTTCTTAATAGACACGCAATTTGTGGGCTCGACAAAGCCTCCATCACGACGATCAACCCGCAATGTTCGAGGATCAAGCGTTACTTCCCGACAATACAAATGTCGATATATTCTCTCATAGAATGCTATAAAAATGTAACTGCCAATATAATTTACACGAAGCTACACAATTCAACTTTAACGGAGGAAATTGAGTGCACAGATAAGTTAATGTCGCCACGAGAAAAATGTAATTATAATAGTCTGGAAATGCTGAACCTCGCCAAAGTCGCTTGTGATCAGACACTCGAAGAGATCAAACACTTTAACGCAGTCCTAAGTGCTTGGTAAGTTAATTCGTGGAAATAATTTGATGCAATGATATTAACTATAATTATGTTTTAGGACGAACCAAGACGTACAAGAAGCGATGGCACTCGACGAAACAACCGTGGACGGCGTATCTTTTAAGGATTGGTTGCAACGTTACAATTTATTATTATACATGATACACAAACATAGCAAATGATTCATATATCTATACTACACTCTTACGCCATTCATCTATAATATATTCTATATGATATTATTCATGTGTCCACAGAATTTTTGCATGTATATATATATATTTTTTTAAATATTTTTTTATACAAATCGTGCAAGGGTAATAATTTAGAGTACACGGGCATAGTAAATAGACTTATATTTCTCGCAAAAATACATCACGTAATACACGTTAACCAATTTTGTGATTAATAAATTTCGGTTACAGTACAACGTAAAAATTTTTCGATGTAAGAGCACTTGGAATTTTCACATATCGCTGCCTATCGAGATTGGCGGCGCATGCCCGTAATTCGCTTTTGGCGTCCCATCTCGGCGAGCCACTTGCAACAAAACAACTTCAAGTTCTCGGCCGAGTGAGAGAAAAAATTTATTAGATCGTCCACGTATTTCTTTTGTACCATACGTATTTAGTATTTTTCATCGCTCCAGCGATTGTATATTTAACGATATCTAACAAAAAATCAGCCGTCAACGGTTCCATGCTTTTCAACTAAAATATTTTCAACGAAATTCCGAAACTTTGTTTTATATAGTTATAGATAATCTCTTACGAATGCTCACATATGGTACACACATCAGTTATTGCAGATCACACACATAACAGACCACGGTCGAAGAGCTTATCAATGCAACTCGAGTTAAATTTTTTTTTTAGAATCATTTCTCTTCTATCATTGATGGAAAATGGCACCAATAAACGTGTTAAAATATACTCTTTTGTCGTTTGCGAGAGATAGAAAAATGGGTTAAAAACATTCTCCATTTGGGAACAAGCTCTTTAATTACGATTGTTGCAATTTACATTACTTGAATCACAAGACTCGAAAACGTTCAAACGAGAAGGGCAGTAATCGGAATACAAAGTCCCAAGAAGTCGAAAATTCAAGACGCTCTCTTGACTTTTCTTTTTCCTTATGTACGTAAGCCGCAACTATAAGGGTCATGCACCCCAATATGCGATTTTATACAGCTTCTGCCTCATATATATATATATATATGTATATATATGCACATGTGGATTTATATAAATTAGCCCCTGAACTTGGATCTTTTTTTTTTTAATTTTTAATTGCCTCGAAGTGTGGCACGATCGTCGCACTCCTCGGACTCTTCTTTAGTAGTATATAAAACTAGCCTACCTATGTACAAGACGCTATGTATTACATACAAGACGCGCGCGAAGCGAGCGAGATAGGTAGTTTACTGATTGTCGCGGTTTTAGTCGACTTCAGCTTCGGGAAGAACGTAAAAACCTGACACACAATACAATAATAACTAGTAGATAGTAATTAAAAGCAGATAGTTAAACAACAGGCCTTATCTACATATTTTTCTTCGTCTGTAATTTTACGTGTGAGAAATAGGCGAATTAAAAGAAATTTATTTCGCTACAATTTCTTCTTAATATATATTCGAGATAATCTAATTTTACAAGTATCTACTAATCCTTTTTAATTCGTTCATTTTTTTTTATTTCACTTTAAACTTTAACAATCGCAATCTTATCCGATACTAATAAGTAATGACATCGCTCATTTAAATCCATCAATCCGAATTTTTTTCGGAAACAGCTCGGCTATCAAGCGGAAGGAGATTCACAATATTCAACCCTTTTCAACTGAAGGAGCTAACGATCATGAACGCGAAATCCTCGCACGCTTCCCGCGCACGTTAAATAGTACAACCGAGACAACGAGCATCCGCGACGAGCATCGGCACATCCACAATGTGAAAAGCGTTGCGACGCTGGGACCGGACGTCGGCGTGGCGGCTGCTAGGCGCGCGAAGGAAACGAGATGTCGAGAGTCCCTCTCGCGAGTCGACGTATGCACGATCACAGAAGTCGGTTACTGGCATTTCTAACCGATGCTTTTGAGCTTTAAGTATTGAGCAAAAGGCACGCCTATCTTCAAAAGGCACATTGGCGCAATCGTATCCTTTCTACTCCCGCATGAATGTTTGAGGGCGGTATTCATAGTCAGATCTTATATTTAAGACCATCTTAAGTACAGTCTTAAGATGTCATAAACCAATCAAAGACGCGCCAAAAACCAACCATATTAGCATCTTAAGACATTACTTAAAATAAGGATGGAATATGAATACCTTGAAGTCAGGTCGATAGTACTTCCACTAATCAATTAGAATAGACTTAGGCCCAGTTTCACAACTCATGGTTAACTCTTAATCGAGGTTCAACTTGTTTCTCATCTCTTTCCAATTCTAGAATTGGAAAGAAACAATGAATAAGTTGAACCTCGGTTAAGAGTTAACCATGAATTGTGGAACTGGGCCTTAGACCGCTATTCATAATTCATTCTTATTTTAAGACCGTTTTAGATAATGTTTTAATGCTAATAAAGCTCTCTGATCATGACATCTTAAGATTGTACTTAAGCCTCAAATGTAAGAATCGACTATAAATACCGATCACAGAACAATATTGGCATTTTAAGAGATTACTTAAATCGATCTTGAAATAAGAACCCACTATGAATACCGGTCCTAGACTGACTTCACTGACTCATTGGAACGAGCCAATGAATCGATTCAATTTCAAGATTTTTTATGTAATCATAGAATGCAAATTTTCTATATAATAATAATAATAAAAATAATAAAATAATATAAAATCATTAATTATAATTATAAAATTTATCTTTTCTTGAGGAATCACGATAAACATTGACAAGAATGTACGTGGTTTTATAAAACGTTTAATCAAACGTTTCATCTATTCTTCGCTTCTGAATGTTCTTTCGCGTTTTTATATAATCAAAAAATCTCGAAGTCCGCGACTCGATCGGCTAAGGTCACCGGTTCCATGCATGTTTCTAAGTGGCGAGTCGTCGAAATGCAAATGAAAAGATTTCTCGGCTAATTGAATAACAGTATCGCGCCAAATTGCTATTGTAATTTACCGTTATCTACATCCGCATAATTTCTTTATGTAGTGCTGAGATCACGCTGCCAACTAGCAAATTTTCGAGAGATTAGGAGAGATTAATGTGTGATCGTGAAGCCTTGACTAAGTTTATTTTTACCAGATCGGAACATCTTTTATATCGCGCCATGGAGAACAGGATCGAGAATAACAATTTCCAATTGCTAAATTGGTCCCTAAGGAATGTCGTCGCGGTGATTCCCCCGCTACAGAATCACCGAATACCAAGAAAATTTTTTTTTATTTATAATTTGAACCGGTTCTTCCTCTATCTTTTTCCCCTTTCACCTAATCGTTCATGATTTTGCCAAAGCGGTGGACCGCTGATAATTTGCGAGTATTATTAAAAGCAAGCCAAAGAAGAATAATGTATGCTCTGTAAATGTCATGGATCTCTTTGAAGATTCACAGAGATTACATCTTACAATTTGATCTACATCATTTTCAGAACAACTCTTTTTTTCTTCTACAATTGCAACCTGAGTCATGCAAAGTCCGTTCGCAAACTGGTCGCCTAATGAGAACCATTTACTTGGCAAATGGTGTAAATTATTCTTAAGGTCGTTGAAAATGCACAATTATTTATATCTAAATGTTTCGTAAAACCCGATTTAAAAACTACTCATTTTTCCCTGGCTCCGTCCACGATGCGGGAGCACCAGGATACGATCCGCCTAAGCATCCTTCTGCGTCGGTCGCCGGATTACGGTCGCGCGCGACTGCCCGGATCTAGCTAGAAAACCATCGCGCTAGTGAAGTATCGTATCGTCGATGAAGTACGTCAACGTATGCTGTATACCGCAAGCCGAATACATGCGACGTAATTTTGTACTCTTTCTTTTTCGATAGATGCGTCGATCTCGGTAGGGCCTTCAACCCTTTGTATTCAGATAATACAACAAATTAAAGATAAAGAAAGAGACAGAGGGAAGAAGACCCGCTAATCCTTCGGCGATTCCGCGGAAGAAAAAGAAAAACGACGTCGTGGCGAGAGAAGATCGACTAGGCTATGCGCTCGCTCGAGAGTCACTCGACTTTCGTTGCGAACGGTTTTCGGAGATTGAGCTCCGTTGCTAGGCTTTCGCCTTTCACGTAATAATCGGCAGCATCCCTTCTCCTGGGCGAGGAGCCATTTGCGAAACCGTTGGCGACGCCGTTCGCGATGCCATTCGCAACGCCATTCGCATGCCTGCCCTTCGATTGATGATTGTCCTTGGCGACGCCGTTCGTCATCGCCGACCCATTCGATTTCCTGGGCTTATTCTCCTGATAGCTTTGCTGGTAGAACTCCTTGAATAAGAAGAAGAACATCACAGCGTGCAGGCCGATCCACCAGACGAACGCTTTTGGATAATTGCACTCGATGAAGAGCAACTGAAAGGCGTGAACCATGATGGCGATGAATTGCAGCATCTGGAAAGCGGTCAAGTACTTCTTCCACCAGAGGAACGGCTGCACCTTTGGACCCATCGCTGCCAGAAGATAATACGTATACATCACGATGTGGACGAAGGTGTTCAACAAACCGAAGAAGGTCGAGTGGCCGCCTGAAAGAATGACCATCAACAGAAATTAGTACGAAATTGTATTCGTAATTTATTCGTTTTCAAACATCAAAGTTGTTTTTACTTGAAAATAGCAAAAAATATTGCACTCTCAAAATTATTTGTGAATAATTCAAAGAAATATGAATCATCAAAAGTATATAGTATTAATCTTCAACTACATGAGTGGGTTATTTGGACCCGTCAAAATTTTAGTCGGATGAAAACTTTAGTCAGCCGCTATTTTTATACGGTTATTGCAGAGTTGAATTGAGAGTAAAAAAACTTGGATCCTTTCTCTGTCGATCGCCATAATGCAATTGTTTCGTTATTGTCTTGACGCTAATTGTGATGCAATAAAAGTTTGGCTTGGGTGACTTGGACCCGTCAAATGTAAATTCGTCATTTTTGCCGAAAATGAAAATTCGTTTTTAGTGAGTGCCTCTTTATTAATCCTGTATTCAAGTATATGTGTTGTCTTCTTATAATTAAAACGTATATTCGTTATCAAAAAAGCATTTTTTGATAACGCGAGAGAGGCGTGTCTTCG